GTTCCCCAAGAGGCCTTTATGATCTGTTACAGAAGTAGAAAGTATCTGTCTAACTAAACTCAAATTAAAAACCTAAAAAAGCACTTCATCTAGACCTTGACATGACATCAAATTGTTATTGTGGTGACAATATATTGGATCTGGTATTTTAAGTTATTTGTACATACATACATACATAAACACTCACGCCTGTCACCCAGAGGGGTAGGCAGAGACTACAGACTTCCATTTGGCACGATCCTGACACACCTCTCTCGCCTCTTTCACATCCATACACCTCCGCATACATGCTCGTCGGTTAAGGGTACTCCTAATTTGGCCCGTTTTCAATAAATCGCCAATTTGGTCGATAAATTTTCGCCTAGGACGTCCCTTTCCGACTCTGCCATTCACTTCTGCAACATAAATTTTCTTTGTCACTCTTTCCTCATTCATTCTTTCCACATGACCAAACCACCGAAGCATTCCTTTCTTAATCCTGGTCACAACATCATCTTGCAAACCACACTCTTCTCTTATTACACAATTTCTTACCCTGTCATTAAGATTCAGCCCTAACATACTCCTTAACGACCGCATTTCTACTGTGTTCATTCTACTCTCGTGCTTCTTCTGCCACACCCAACTTTCACTACCATATGTTAAAGTAGGGACCAACACAGCATTGTGAATTGCCATACGTGCCTTTTTCGACACATTTTGACTCTTCACAATAGAGTGCAGGGCCCCATTTACTCTATTTCCCGCATTCACTCGTCGTTCTATATCCTTATCATATCTCCCATCCCTGCTAAATACGCAGCCCAAATATACAAACTCATCTACTTGCTCGATCAACTCCCCTTCTATTCTTATTTCACAAATCGTTTTACTTTCTTCTCTTTCAAAAACCATAACCTTCGTCTTACTTGCGTTCACTTTCATACCCCTTTCTTTTAATGATCTGTTCATTAATGTAACCATCATTTGCAACTCGGCCAGTTATTTGTCTGACTCATATTAACTCTTAATTTTACTTATAATAACAGTTGGTATATGCCATTGTTCCAACTTATTATGTGGAAACTTAGTAACAGTTTCCACATATTTAATAATAAGAAAACAAAAAGAAGCCAGTGCTTTGGAACACAAGTTTTTAGGGAACTACTGTTTGTTTAAAAATAAATAATGGAATTCGCTAACTAAATGTCTCATAACCTACATCAATTTAAAAGTATTGAAACAAAAATTGTTATTTAAAAAGACATACCTATTGAAGCTGATGAGTTTAGGGCACCAGAAGTGTTGAGACTATCGTTGGTAGAATAGAAATAAGTTGTACCACCTACATTTTCCTGTTAACAAAAATATTTAAAGATATTAAGAAATCATTTTTATTAAAATAAGAAGACGAAGTACCTCTATAATATGAATCCATTTAGCTAAAAAAATTAAGTTACCTTAATGTTACAGATGTTTAATTTAATAATATCTGTGAAACCTAAAGTAAATTTTTATAATTATGACTAAGCCATAATGTGTATTTTTGGTTACTTATAATATATTGTTTAAGAACTTCTACTCACCTGATGCACTTGTGTATTAGTGGGTACACCAGACAAAGTGGACGGTGGGGAGCTTTCTGGTGACTCGGGGAGCATGTTTGTTGGATTGAAGTAGTTCACAGGAACAAATTCACTTATTAGTACCTATTAAAATAAAAATATATTACCTACTTAAAGCAAAATAACAATGATTTCTTAACATTATTTTTAAATATAAAGTATATCTTTTAACATAAAGTGTGTAATGTATATTGATTTCTTACCTTTTTAATAGCAGTTGGGGAAGACTCAAGGCTAAGCTTACCTAAAGCTTGAGTTAAAGTTCTAGTGGGAGTTGATGTGGAATGGTTCTGAAACATTCAATAAATGAGTAATGCATAATATATTAATACATCCCACAAGACAAGGTCATACCATATATGTAGCCAATTTGGATTCCTGTGGCAGTCCATTTGGGGGTGAGTATTGCAAAAATATAGAGGGATCCATCTCGTCCAAGTTTTGACGCAGCCAGCTGCTGGTCCACAATAAAAAAAGAATAAATCGTAACAACTAATTGAAATTGAAAGTAGATATATGCATACAACGGTACTGACATTACGGACGTGGGTATTCGAGTAATTGCAGACATTACCTGACAAATCACGCTTTTAATATTCCATTTTCTTCGTCGGTCCCTCTATCTTTTCGAAATTTATACATTACAGTTGGCAACAAAGAGCCTGAACATTTTTACAAAATGATTTCCTTATGCTTACTGAATTCTGTGACGATCAATCAGGTTTTACACTAATACACAATTTCAATACAAACTATGCTCATTTTTACAAACAATAAACGTAAAGTATTCGTTTGTCACCAAATCAATTCATGAATAGCGAAAATTGAGTACAAATCATCAATTTTTTTCTAAATAAAAACAGTGATTATGGACACGAAGACAAATACATAACTGTGTACATGAAAATTGTATACGTGTGTATGTATGTGTATATCTATATAATGCTATGCTTACCGCTTACGGACCAGAGATATTGTTATTGTTGTTGTTACGATTCGTTACTTAAGACAGGCAAAAGTCACGGACGACACAGCCTACTTTTTAATATTTTAAAATTCTTCACGATGAATTGATGCGAAGTTTTATGGAGATTTTGTGGACAACTTATCCCAGCAGACAGATGATGACAATGGTATCTCAAGGCACCTAAAGGAGTAAAATTTTGACATTTATATCACTGATAAAGTATTTGGTTCATGGCAAAAAGTTTTTGGCACTTGATTCGAGTCATTCATTACAGTTCATCAAAAGTCCGCTGCAAATATTTAATCTAAGCCTCACACATTCACACAGGCCTACAGAAGTCTGCCCCATAGATTGTCTCATAACGCTATTGTTTAGGGAGACATACATGTGTGTGTGGCAACCACCATTTTTATATTTTATTTTGTTTTGACCGTAGTCCCGACGATATTATACCTATCGATAACAATCGGTAATAGCAGTGTCCCTTTTCAGGTTTTCTTTACGTAGGTACTAATTTCTAATTTTATGACCAGTTGTGGTGTAAACTTTTCCCCACACTTGTAATCCTAAATATAGAGACGTATTTTTTGTCTCATTTTCGACACACTTTGATGGTGTCTATAGTATTCTCTGTCTACGGCTGTCGTAGACAGAGAAACCTATAAACAAATTAACGCCTTCTTTCGCATTCGCACACGAAAAAGATAGATTTATGCGTACGTCTTGCATAGAAATGAGACAGAGCGGTGTGATTGCTTGACCCTTTCTCCGTGCCGGTTTTTTTGTTTAGCAAACTACACTTTGCTAAACAACTTTGACAGTTCGTAGCGATCTAAGGAGTTTACAAGTTGGTTTAAGTGAGGAAAAAGTATTTTGTGAGCTTAAGATCGGTGAATCTTGTTCAGTTCAGTTCTTAGAACAATTAAAATTTTTATCTAAATATGTTTAAAAGTCATAAAGATTATTGTATAACCTAAAACTACGTTATCGTTCTTTCTCACTCGAGGCCACGCCGATCATTAGTCTATAGGTTTCTCTGTCTACGAAATTTTTAGTATGGAAGATTGTCTGTCGTCTGTACGTTAGTACTCTTATTAGTTTGTGGTATAAACCGTAGACTTCTACATATTTATTTATCTATGCCGTAGACAGAGAAATTATAAACACATATATATGCAGTAATCTATGCTGTGGACCTGTGGACTAAAGTTGTGCAAAACGAATATAAATCAATAGCACGCTACAGACAATAAACTATAAATTTCTAGCGCGCTATTAAATACGCTATGTTATAGCGCGCTATTTATAAAAACGCGTGTAGGAATCCGGTAAACGCGTTAAGTTTTGCAGCACGTTATGTCTCTTAGCACGTTACATTACATGTAGTTCATTGGATAGATCGCGTGCTATATAAGAACATTATTTGGTAATAAGTCGCGTTTTAGACTAAAATGAAATAAAGCGGTAAAGAAAAACCAATGTGCGCTTTTTCATACTTTTCTATAATCCTAAAAATATTTTTAAGTCATGTAATTTTTAAAATAGGATTAATTTTATTTTTAGAATCGGAATAAAATTAATTATTTTTTTATTATAATTGATGTAAACATTATTATAACCTTAATATAAATTATAAATCAAGTAAAGGTGTATTTAAAAGTTTATTTATTGTATTTATAAAAATCAATTATTTACATAAACTATTTTATATACACTTTTGTATCTATATTTTATTTACATATAAAAACATTAGTTAGGCTTCTTTAATCACAACTGTGTCCTTTGATCATTTATAAATATACAGTGTACTTAGTGTACACTGTATATTAACAACGTCAAACATTAAATTAGGTCGCGCGCGATGAGTAGCGTGCTACTAGATCAAATTTGCGTCACACGTCCTCTCCCAACAGCGCTGCTGCTAGAACTAATTGCCGCTAGATATTAAATACTTAATAGCGCCAAAGCACCATAGCGCAATAGCGCCATGGCGACTACTTACATAACACGCGCTATGTGTTATGAAGAGATAGCGCGCTATAATATGGCGCTATGCGCTATATTAACCAGCAGTACTGTGGACGAATAATTAATTTTTATTTAGTGTCATTCGTCAATTTATTGATGTATATGTAACTATAATATTGTAGATTAAGATTTTAGTTTTCGTCAATATTTAAGAAAGTTTTTGTTAATAAACTCATACTATACATAGTTTTTCTGTACTAGCATCACGAATATTAAGTATTGTGGAAATATAGAAAAAAAGTGCTATTTATATTGCGCGAAACAGAAGAGGTATTTGTGGACGTCACGTATTTGCAACAATAAACTTTATTATCTGAAGGTATGTATGTAATTATAAAAGATATAGAAAATATTCTGTTGGGACAATAAATTATCTATTTTTTTCATATGTTACATATAGAATGGAGGCTTCATATCAAGGAGGAGTGTCGTATGAAGAAACCAACAACTTTCAACGATTATCCCAAACAATAGCAAGTAATATCAAGAAAATTTCCCAGAATGGTGAGAATTTTACTTTACGTTGCTATTTCGTCTCCTTTTATAGTAAAAGTAAAAATTTAAAAAGCTATTGTTTTAATTAACATTATAGTAGCTTCCTATAATATAATTGTATAATGTAAACTATCAAAGTAAAAAGTCATCCCATTGTTAAGCCTTAACCTTTAAATTCATATCATTCCTGTAATAGTTTAGGCCTGTGGTTAGCAGCCAAAATTTTTTATGAATATGTCAACTAAAACAGGTATCTTTAGAGAACTTGTAATTAAAAGTTTTTATTAATATTTTATCATTTATACTTTAATTCAAAATTTCCATCAGCATTTTCACACAGTTGCACTGTAATGAGTCCAGTGCTGAGCATCCTAGATTTTTTTTTTTATAGAAGAGGGGGCAAACGAGCATGCGGCTCACCTGATGTTAAGTGACTACTGCTGCCCATTATCAACCGCAACACCAGGGGAATTGCAGGTGCGTTGCCGGCCCTTTAGAAAGGAGTAAGCTCTTTTCTTGAAGGTCCCCAGGTCGTAACGGTTTGGAAAAATCGCCGGTGGTAAACTATTCCACAGAGAGGTTGTACGCGGAAGAAAACTCCTTTTGAAACATACTGTGGTGGACCGCCAAGCATCCAGATGGTGTGGATGGTATTGGGACGTTTGCCGCGTAGTGCGTTCACGAAATTTGGCGGCTGGCATTAATCCGAACAATTCCTCAGAGCACTCTCCATGGTATATGCGAAATAAAATGCAAAGAGATGCAACATCTCTTCGCAGTGCCAGTGAATTGAGCCGATCGCAAAACACTCGGTCGTTGACGATTCGAGCCGCTCTGCGCTGGATGCAGTCAAGTGGAAGGAGCTGGTACTGGGGAGCCCCAGCCCAGATATGGGAACAGTACTCCATGTGTGGCCGAACCTGCGCTTTGTAAAGTTGCAGGCGGTGTGCCGGCATGAAATACTGTCCCGCTCTGCTGAGCACGCCAAGCTTTTTAGAGGCCAATTTGGCCTTTTCTTCCAAGTGACCACGACTTCACTCGATATGTCAACGCCGAGGATTCCGATACTGGCTGAGGCAACAAGGGGAGTGCCTTGAAACTGAGGAGATACAACAAAGGGATTCTTTTTAGCGGTTAACGCGCAAACTTGTGTCTTCTGGGGGTTAAATTGGACTAGATTTAGTCGCCCCCAATCCGAGACTCTGTTCAGCAAGGACTCGACTTCAGACACAAGTTTGTCCCAGCGCTCGGAGACGTTTTCCCGAGAAATATTTAATTCTATAAAATATGGTGTGCCAATATGATTATTACTTTTAGGGGAGGCTTAAAACTATTTATGGATTCCATCAAAGGTTGAGACTAAAAACAAACAACTTGTATACCATGTGTTAATATGTAACCTCATCTAGCAGTAAATATTGAGTTATGCCAAGTAATGTCCATAAATACTATATATTATGATGTCAAGTTTTACAATTTGGCTTCATGGGTTTTGTTTAGCTTACAATTCTGGCATTTCATAAGTTTCATTGTTTTAAGTAAGAAAAAACGGACATTATACTGTACATGTACTGTTCATTCTATATGTTATATAAAATATCTAAATTAAGTAACTAAGTTAGTTATGATAAGGAATTTATTTTTATTTTAGTCTCGTCAATGTCAAAGATGGTCAATCAACTTCAAACACCTCAAGATTCACAAGAACTTAGGAATCAGTTGTAAGTATTCCTGGATGTATATATTCTTGCTTTTATCACTCACGGACCCTGAGAGATATTTCAAATGATATGATGCAGTAAACAATCTATTAACTTTGATTTTATATACAATCAATTTGATTCTTAATGATAACCGGCATTTTTAATTTATTTTTATACAGTATGGAAGCAGCAGTATCTTTCTGATAAGAACTAAAAATAATAAAAAATCATGATTTCTAATACACCTGCAGTGTGGCAAATAGGGCAAAATACCCCTTCAATACAATTTATGAGAGAGACCATGTTCATGACATGTTCAGTGACCTTTAGTGAGCTGTAATGAATGAATAAATAGATAAATTCAAAAATTGGTCATCCATCATTTCAATCATTTATTACTCTTTAAAGAAGTTTTTCAACACTGAGTAGAACTTATTTTACCTACTGAATTTTGATAATAAATAATTATACCATTCCTTCCAGTACCGCAGGCATGAATTCTTGCTTTTATTACTTGACCGTTGAGTACCACGGACATGAATTTATGCACATATATCGCATTGCTAGTTTTGTGTTAATTCTGAACGAGTAAGAGTATTCTCAAATACTATACTCACTTCGTTACATAGACAAAATAAAAAAAAACAGATATTCACTTTCACATTGTTGGTGCTGTTAGTTACGTAATGTTTTTCTTTTTGTGCTTGTGATTTTAGTGGAATTTTCTTTCAAAAAATGGAAAGGATAAAAAGAGATCATGTTTTTGAATGATCTATGCTACAATAAAAGTAATTTTTTGTGTTTCAATTGATAAAAAGTAAAAACAAGTCAAGATTTCAAATAAGATAGAAATGTACATTTCTTATTCAAATGGCATATAGCATATACTTTTCCCTATTACCTTTGAATTTTTCTATATGAGAAAAATTATGGAAAACGCTATAATATATCCCCAAAAAGGTTTTGAAAATAAAGTTACAAAGCGTGCGCAAACTGTCTATTGTCGGCAAATGTTTGCGAGTGAAAAATAAACTTATTATAATGATTACATGCATAATTTCGGTTTATTTTAGGAACTCCATGTTATACAGATTGAGAGGACATAAAAATTAAATAAAAACTGCGTTTTAATTTATAAAACCAAATTTATTGTCAGTAAATACACTTTGTCAAGATCCATCAGAAATGAAGATCTGTGCAAAACTAAATAAATATCTAAATTGTTATTGTTCCTACTTAATGATGTCAGGGCCCCTAGTACAAAGCCCTTTTTTGTTATAGTTAATTGCATTTCTTGTGTCTTTGTGTTTTCTTTATTTCATGTTTAAATAAAATAGTTTGTTGTTCATAAAGTATACAACCTTCGATCAACAATACCAACTAGATGTCGGGTCGGCGCAAAAAATCCATCTCAGTAAATAAGAGCGCACATGAGACGTGAGCTCTTGCACGTGAGAGTGTAGCTCGCAAGGCAATAACGGGAAAAAGAACTTTATTTGTTATGGCTTAAGGTTGATTTCACACTAAATGTTATTTAATTTAGGTCTTTTCATAGTTTATATTCATGCGGACAGTATTTAGCTATGATTTGTACCTGACCCGTTATCTAGTTGGTATTGTTGATCGAAGTATACAACTAAGGAGTGAAATAATTTGCCACCATCTGTCTTTCCACCTGATTACGATGTAGGTGTCTTCAAGTCAAGAGTGAATAGGGTTTTGTTTCAGTCAGTGGATTTAACATCTACAACTACATAAACACTTACAATCAGTTGGGGTAGTAGTCAATCACTGGCATATAATATTTAAAAAAGTTAAAGATGACAAGTTATTCTGACTTATTTGTTTACATAGTAGAGCCATACTGGGTATTATGGCTGCACAGCATAAAATTAGTGGGTTCAACCTGGTGCCTCACAGAATTACAGATTCATTGCAATTATTGAAATAAAATAATTTAATAATAAAATTAAACACAAACTTCAAATCGTAACATTTTTGAAATGCATGCAAAAATGCCCAACTCTTCGCTAACACATCTGTGAGCAGAGAAATTTATAAAACGATTGCAAATTTAAAATAATAGTGGCGAATTTATCTAGGATATTAAAATTATGTCTACTCAATAATGAAATAGGAGTGTATGTGGTGAACTGTACTTGGGGTGAAAAATCGGAAAAACAAATAAAAGTGAATTACGATTATCCACCCCATCTAGGGTGGATACTTTAAGGTGGTTAAACAGAATAACCCAATATGACACCTTGAATAGAAATACTTTTATGGATTTGCATTTAACTCTACTTAGTTTTAATTCCCGTCGTTTCGGTTGCACTGCAGCACCTATGGTCATGAGGGACCAGTTCAGTTTTATTCTACAACCTGGCCTGGTTTCACTTGGATGTAAAAGTAGAGAGAGCGGGTGTGGCTTGTTTTTAACTTAACTAAGAAATGTCATTATTTCTTGGCTATCTGTATTTAATACAGTATCTTATTATAATGTAAAGCTGTAAAGTAGTCCTTTTAGTATTAGTATTATTTATAAAGTTTGTGTTTGTGTGTAGGCGCCAAATCCAAAACTACACACAAAAGTTGGCTAAAGACACATCTTCATTGCTAATGGAACTCATGAAGCTGCCCGTGGACCAACCTGCCCAGAAACTCCAACGTGATCGTCTCAGCGATGAGTATTTGAGCACCCTTAATGCATTCCAGGTAAATATATGGTACTAAAGATTGAGTTAGACATTTTATGTAACAAAAAATCATATTCCCATTTTTAAGAACTTAAAATTACCTTCAAATAATAATAATAATGACCTCCAACCCGAATTTCGTTCATGGCGGACAGCCTCAACGGGTACTAGCCAACTGGCTAGGACAAGATTAAGTGCCCAAGTGTATGTACAAGCACAGGTTCCCTTTGTATTCCCTCACTCTCCAAGTTTGATTGCATGGTAAATCAACACGACCGGAGAGAGATCAGGCGCAGGACCAACATATACTTGCTTTTCGAGGCACGGGAATGAGACACCGCGACACTGCCAATTTCCCGACTCCTGGCAGTTACTGAGAATTTATTGATGGAAAAACTCAATAACTGATTGTTTTTTGACCCGACGACGATTCGAACCCGGGACCTCGTGATCCACAGTCGCGTTTACAACCACTAGACCAACGAGGCAGTCAACCTTAAAATATCAGTACACTTAAAATATTGCACCCTATAATGAAAGTAATTATGGTTACACTTAATTATAAAAGGAAAACAATCAAATCTTGTCAATGAATTTGTACTGTATTATTTTAAGTTATAATTATAATAATTGTTTTAATTTACGACATATTGGTGTTATAAATTAAAGCAACTTATTGCTCAATTTATTACAAAGATATTTATCTTGTCTTTGTAAATTCTTAACATAATTAACGATTTAGTTTTCACACATCTCTATAAATTGATGAATGTCAATTTTTATTTTGTATATATATTTTAAATGCATTTAATAAAGATAAAATAGAAAATAAGTATTTAATACTGTTAATAAAAGATTAAACATTAAAGTATTGAGATAATTATTCTATTATAGGCAACAAATTGTTAAATTTCTGCAATTTGACGCAGATGGGAAAACCTGCAACATAATCTATATTGTTCAGAATCCGCTTGTTGTCGTTAGGGTCCTTTAGTGCCCAGCATTCGGTATCTGCCGCTGGTGGAAATATGTCGCGAGTTGTTCCCGACCAGACGACTGCATACCTAAAGTAATTTTTGCCTTATGGCATTCGTTGCCAAGATGAGAGTTCCACGTTATTTTCGGTCGATTGTTACGCCCATAGTTAACTTCAGTGGAAAATGGTACTTCTTTACTATTGAGTTTTGGTGTGACTAATTTGTTCAACCATCTCTTTTTGGTAAAGGGTATTATAACAGTTTTATCAGCATTAACTAATAAACTGGTATCCCTACACTAGTTATTTATGGTGTTTAGGGCTCTTTGTACGATTGGCAATAAAGTACTTTGGCTAAAGCCCCTCGCAATTATCACAAGGTCGTCAGCATAACCCAGTGTGTCAATGCGTAGGTCTGCCATCTTGTACAATAGTTGGTCAACCGCAAGATTCCAAAGAAGGGGTGACGAAACACCTCTTTTTGGGCAACCTTTTGTAGTTGCAACCTCAATCGAAGTTTGAAACATCGCTATTTTTGCCTTTTGTTTGAGAGCATCGACTTCAACCCTTCTGATGGTTGTGGGGTCAACATTTTTAGATGTCAGGTCCCCAATCAGCAGTGATGTGGAGCTACTGTCGAAGGCGCCCTCAATATCTAGAAAGGCATAAAGAGCTGTTTATTTATCATCCAGTGCTTTTTCGACCCTGTCAATGACGCTGATCAGGGCTGTTTCCGTAGATTTGCCTCTACGGTAAGCATGCTGGTTGTAATGTTTGGGCCTCGTAGCTAGAGCTACATCCCTTATATATCTATCTGTAACCTTTTCCAATGTCTTAAGAAGGAAGGAAGATAGGCTCATAGGTCTAAAGGACTTTGGTAAAGCGTGGTCTTTTCTACCAGCCTTAGGTATAAATAGAACTTTGACAATTGTCCATCGTTCTGGAATATATCCCCATGCAAAACTTGCCCTGAAGATTTTCACTAGATGGGAAGAAGGACATCGATACCCCTCTGTAGTTGGATGGGAATTATTCCATCCTCTCCGCTTGTTTTAAATGGTTTAAAGGAGTCAACAGTTCAATGCACCAGGTTTGGTCTTATTATCTTTGCAGCCCTACACCAGTCCTCATTACAAGGCCTTCGTAGGGCTCTGAAAGAATTCAAAGCAGAAGTCTTATGTGACCCTGGGTTGACGCCAGTAAGTCCAATGTTTCGGTTTCACTATAAGTGAAGTTATCAATCAGGCTTTTTAAGAAGCCCGATCTGATTAGGTTTAGCTTTCGATAGCATTTTGTGTAGTCTTGCACTGCGAAACAAAGACTCAACTTTGTCGCATAGCTTCCTAAAGGATGCTCTCTTGGCTTTCCTAATTTCTTTATTATATTCAATTAGGGCTGCACTATAAATATCCCACTCTTTGGTTTTCTTAGCTCTATTAAATAGTTTCCTGGTCTTTTGCCTAAGTTCTTTTAGCTTAGTATTCCACCAAGGAAATTTTCGTGTTGAAGTCTTGGTTTTGACGGGACAACTGTCCTCGAAGGCTCCACGGATATCTACGGTTGTCTCCGTCGCTAACTTCAGACCTTCATACGTTTTGATGCTTTTAGGAAATGTTTCCAAATTCCTCCTCTGTAGATATCCCAGGAGGTCGCTTTTGGATCCCTAAAAGCAATGGTTTTATAGGTTGGTAATGCTCCAATCACAAACTTAATGTGTTTGTGATCAGACATCGAGTTTTCACTACTAACATGCCAGTCATTTATTCGCCTCGACATGTTATTGGTAGCAAAGGTTATGTCTAACACTTCTTGTCTAGCACGCGGTACAAACTTATACACCCTAAGTTTAGGCTTACCAGGCGGTTGGAGATGAGAAAATCATAAAGTAACTCACCTCTTTCGTTGATGTTGGTGCTTCCCCAGGCTGTGTGGTGAGCATTAGCATCACAACCCACCACAAGTTCGGCGTTGTGTTTTCGGGCGAACTCCGCCACTCGCTCTAACTCGATGTTAGGATCTGAGTTCTCTCCTGGAAGATATTCTGAGCAAATGATTACTCTGGCCCCCTGCATCCCTTAAGATTTATAAAGGCTGTAACCAGGACATCATTGCAGTACTCTGGAACAGCTAAAATTTCAATATTTTTATTGTAAATTATACAAGCTCTGGATCTACTGCCTTTAGTATTGACAAGAATCTTACCGGCAGCCGCCAATCCTAGAACTTGACCGTTGGCAGGCTCTTATACGAGGGCGAGGTCAGTGTTGTCCTCTGCAAAGCAAACCTCCACCACGACAGCAGCAGCTACTTTATGGTGTAGATTTGCCTGGAAGACCCTCGTCTTACCCTTGGGGTTAGCCATTTATGACCGTAGGGAGGGGGGCAGGGGTCTTTTTCGCCTGTTGAGGACGAAGACGTCCTTTACCGGCGCTCTTAGCCCCGCCTTACTTTCACTATACCGCTCCCACCTCCCCTTCCTCCATCCCTGGACGACATCAGCGGAGACCGTCTGACTGAGGCGGAATCAGCGCCTTGGGTCTTCGTCACTCTCACTGATAGCGTTCCAATCTCAACCCGAAAGGTGGCGGGCTGCGGTGATTGCAGTTGGGGCGGTTCAGGCTCCATTGCCGCGTCAGAGTCTCCCTTGACTTTAAAAGTTATCATTTTAAAGCCAAGGACGACTCTGCCGTCTGCCTTCCGAAGAGCCTCCGCCGATGGGTCGTCCAGAGAAAAGGTTACTAGGAACCCATTCTCCTCATCCCTACGGTAGAGGATTCTCCAGAGCTCGGTATGGAGGCCTTAATTCTGTGTCCTAGCTGTAACTTTACGTACTTTACTAGACACCGATCAGAAACTATTTTACATCTGGCGCCAAGATGTAGAGACATTGTTTATACAAACACGTAGCTTAAAACTGACCATGAGACCTAAGCTTTAATGGAAATCAGTCCAGCTGGTTTTTATTCTTAAAGAATGTCCCACAGCCTGTGGTTTTACTGGCACTGCTATTTGGCGACAGAAATATTTAAATCAACTAGATTTCTAGGCAGGTAAAGAGTAAATTAAATATTTAATATAAATCTTTTTATTTTCTATTCAAACTTTGATATCCTACTTTTAGTTGGTACTTTCAATTTGATAGATTGATAATTAATTTGTTTTAATGTGTCTATTTTATACAGACCACTCAAAGGTCGGCGGCCCAGAAGTCGAAAGAAGATGTGAGGAAAGTCAAGGCCCAAAACATCAATATCGGCGACCCGTTTGCAATGAACGGTAAGAATACGTCACACCATTACAAGATTATCAACGCAAAATCCATAATAAAATCACATGTGCTCCTTTCTAGGTATTCAGAGCTTATTATTGGCTATTTTTAGTCTCATGTATCCTTGACAGACTAACCGTCTGTTTGAGTTTAAAGTATTAATGAAACTTTCAGAACTTCCTAATGTATCACAATGAAAGGAAAACAGAGGGAATAAATATAAGATTTTCTCTTCCGGGAAATGGGAGTTTCGTTTCCAAACTAATATAAAACACTCGTTTCTTAAACCCATTTTTCTTTAATATTAGATATATTTTAATTAAATTACACTTTAAATTAATTAACTTATATCAAAGAGTCACATATTTTTACAAAAAAATTCTGAGAATTAACAAAATAAACAGCATGGAAATTATACTTTTGATACAGACAAATCTGCTAAAGTGTTTACTTTTATGAATTTTCTTTAAAATATTGTTTCAACATTAATAATTGGAGTACGTTTTATTAAATAATAAATTCGGAACATGCCGACTAACAATTAATTCTTATAAAACAGATTCATTTATTATAGAAGGCGAGGCAGTCCAGCGTATAGTTTAAACTATTACAAATGCATTTTAGGAGAGATGTGATAACGTATGTATGAATATGGAAAGACAATATTCACGTGTCATATTCATTATTATAGTAAAAGTTATTTGTGTCATTAGTGAGCTATAGATAGAGATCACTAGCAGTCGGGATAAGTTGGTTTCTCTAAATATAGATTTGTAAATTAATATGGATTTGCAAATTAAAATTACATCATCCGTATTATTTTCTTTTTGGGAGGCTATATTACAGCTTTAGCTTTATTCTGTGATGTAAGCGCTCTTAACCTACGCGGCTCTTACAGCTTCATCTGACTCAGGACTTATTAAAAAAGGGGGAAAACAATGAAGATGAGGATAATGATAATGGTTTATGATTTGGTATTGTTACCAATCATCATGTCGCCTCTTTGGTCGTTATTGAGTTATTTGACCGCTGTCCGAGTTGGGGAGTGCGAACCGCCTCTGACTGCTCATCTCGCTGTATTACATTAACGTTCAAATTAAAAAAAGTAACTTTGTTCATGACTGTCCGATACTTGTCGGATTACTGCATATGACATTTATTTTCCGAGAAGAGTGTAACTTATAATGAGAAAGACTGGATATCTTCATATTAAGTTTACAAACAAATATTAATGTATAAAAGCCGTTTGACAATGTACATAATAGCGAAAATTTTGTTTAAATGATTTTATTTATTTTTACTATACGTATATGTTAAATTTTGCGCATGGTTGGTTAGTCCTTGTTTATCTTATACAAAGAATACAAATGGGTATTTCAATTGGCACGGGTAGATTTAGGCGGCCATTTTGTTTTGGGGACATCTATCAAATCTTTTGTTTATGAGGGTGACACTGGAAGTTCTTATTTTTATAGAATAAGGGTAGCAAACGAGCACACAGTCCAGCTGATGGTAATTGGATGCTGTAGCCCATAGACATCTACATTTAACCTCGATTAAGAATCAAAATGCAGATATGTTGTCACCCCTGAGGACTAAAATAGAATGCCTCGATTCCAGTAAAACGGGTCTCCGGTTCTCTACACTCACCATACGAAAAACAGCAGCATTTTACGCTGGTATTCATAGAAAATCAAAAACTTAACAAACTAGCAAGTTATTAGTTTTATTATATCTTTTCATAATAGTGTCTATTAACATCAATACATCGCTGCATCCGATGGAACTACTGAGAAAAGCACTTTGCCCACTCGTCCTTAGGGGTCTCTTCGACGGCATTTTGAAATGCAGCCACTGCATCCTCGGCGCCCTTAAAATGTTTTCCTCGAAGTTTTTCTTTTATTTTCGGAAATAAATAAAAATCGCAAGGTGCGAGTTTCTTAGTTTCAGGATCATAACAATAAATCCAACTTTCGGCACCCGTTAGTATGTTGAATACAGCATTGGAGTTACCTCCGTTAAATCTTTGAACCATTTCACGACACCAATCAACATGACGGAGTTTTTAGGCCTCTGTAAAATTATGAGATAACACAGGGCGCAAAGCTTCCTGACCGCTAAATGTTCATGGAGGATTTTGTGCACTTGTCTCATACCGATGCCTAAGCTTGTCCGAATCTGTTGATAGGTCACTCTTCTGTCAGTCTCTATCATACGCCGCCACATCACTGATGTTATCTTCAGTCTTCGCTGTAGAAGGTCGTCCCTCACGCAGATCATCGGTGAGATTATTACGACCACGTTTAAACTCATTAAACCAGTTGTAAACAGTGGCACGAGATGGGGCTTCATCGTGAAAGGCCAATCGAAGTCTATCATAACTTTCTTGTTGACTTAATTGACATCGAAAGTTATAAAAAATCATTGTACGAAAATTTTCTCGCGTTTAATTCATGCTGACGTGACACAGACATTTTTCAATTTGCCGCCAAGTCGTAAACAATGACAAATTAATAAAATACATACACAATAATATAGGCTGAGTTCCGTTTTCAAAATTTGTTTTCAAAGTATTTTCTTGTTCTTTTCAATAAGATTTATGTTTCTTTTGTGTTGCTAAGATAAGAGTATGTTGTGGCTAATATATAATTCCTTTCACATCTACACTTAAATATTTTAATAACTATATATATACTGAATGTCACAGCCAACAACAAAGAACTGTTGGAGATGGGCGATACGAACATTCGCAAGCAAGAACAACTCACGATGCAGTCGGAGCGAGAGCTTCTGGAGCTGGAGGAACGAGAGAGGGACATCAGACAATTGGAGGTAAACGCTTTTCGTAACTGAATTAAAATGCCTTCCACACCTGATTACTGTATGGCTTGGGTGTAAAAATCGACTTCAAAATAACAAAGCATAAAATAAGTAAATAAGTTAATTACAACCGGCTTAAAAATGAATTAGTTGAATGACACATTTTTTGATATGTATACCACAATGTTACTTTCATCAGAATATAAAGGATCATAATATTCCCCTAACAAACAAATAAAAAACAAAACTAGTTTTTGATAATACTAAGGAATTCGAATTTTTTGCTATTTTTTCTCATGATTTTCATTTACTTCTGAATCATTTAAAGTTAAATGAATAAATTATGAAGTACGCATGATGGATTTCGGTATAGGTTTTAAAAAAATATTATGTTATTTAAAAGTGTCTCCTAAAAAACTTATAAAAGACATCAATAGACTAAAATGTAGTAAAATAATTCTGAATCGTAGAACGATTAGTCACCTTTTAGACCTTCTTCGTGCGTTGAGCAACACGGGCCATGTGAGGACAGGAGGGAAGTAGCCATATGCATTCGTTCCCCTCTATCAAAGTATTACTCTACGCGGTTTCATGCCTACAATAAAAGTAATTGCAGATGCAGCCGCACTGCCCATACAACTAAATCTAGTTGCGCGGCTGAATCGATGTCTTACAAAAATGCCGAATTGTTCTATTTTTTATTTGCTGCAAAAAGATATTTACTACGTCAAATTTACAAAAAGTAACTTTTTTTTAAATTTAAAAAATTAATAACGGACGTGTTGTTTCGAATTTATTTACCAACATGGCCGCTGGCTTTCATATAATATGCGGATCGATCGTGCGACTGATCCGAGTCTGTATCCGAATAGTCGCTGTTACCGAGTTTATAGCTTGATGTAATTTATCTATGTTTATGTGAAATTCTTTGTATATGGTTTTAACTTTTATGTTTGAGTTTCGTGGTGTCAGACGATTTGTTTTGTGTGCGCATTCTCTCCCCCGCAAAAATTACAGACAGATCCGTATCGGGGAAAAACGCTATGGCTACTCTCCTCCGGTTCGTGTTGCTTGATGAATTCATGTATTTAAAAATCAAATGTAGAAGGATAGATCCTTGGAATACTAAAGGTCAAAATTAATTTAGGAGTACTTTAGTCCACGGCCAAGATTTGTAGACTCAAAAAGTAATCCTTAATTCAAATTTATTAATTCGTGAACACAACATGTTGTTTAATAGTTTATACCTTGGTCTATATTATAAATCTGTTTGTCTGTCTATCCAGTATTTCCGTTGGTTACAAAAATTTGATCGATGAATAATTAAAGAAGCAGAAAAATATTTTTTTTTCAAGGCAAACATATAAAACTATTAAGTCATATTGTTTCAATCATAAATCACATATTTAGGTTCTGCCCTTTTAGGTATATAATGAACTGCTGATAACGGCATTGCATATGGGCAATTAATCTCGCACAATTGCCCCGCGTTCAAAATTGTAGATATTTTTAATAAGTACTTTGTTAAAAGTCATTATTTGATAACAAATATAGATTTGATGTTGTGTGTTTTAGGTAAATTTAAAACAACTTTCGAAGAGTTATACATTAGAATTTACTTTTTTAATCTTTTTAAAAAATTTATCATGTTTTACCAATTTTTTATCTCCTGCCTCAATTCTACGCTTAGCATTTTGAACACGTACACAATATTAGAGTTACAGAACTTTACTTGCTGATTAAAATAGAAGAATTTACCCGGATCCATAAATTGTAAAATTAACGTAAAGTGGTAAAGGCGAGAAGCTTTATAACTATCAATGTATCAACTCTGCGCCTACTCACCGGCTACTGGTTAGCGTGAATACGGGCATATTTTCAAGTAATGCATGCCAGTTCAGATTTAATAGCTTCGTCATAACGAACGAAGAACTCTAGCGGTGGGTGTTTTTTTTAACTAATAGTGTACCTGGGCTACCGGGTTTCATTCAGCGCGGTGTTGGAAACAAAAATATTTTTTTCGGGGATGTCACATATCAAGATAAACTTGAAAAGTAATAAAGTAGTACTAAACAATTGTTCATGTAAATCATTAGAACCGTTTTAAAGAAACCGGTTCTTTTATTATCATAAGGACGGATTGATTAAAACTACTTTTACGAATTTTATCGCGTTTTATTTATATTAATTTTAATACCCGACGTTTCGGGTGCTTTCCAGCACCCATGGTCACGGGGGACTGAGGTGACTGACGTCCCGATGTCAAAGTTAACCCGAAGTACCTTCAGCTTTTTAATTATGGTTTTTGGTCCGATCTACGCAGAATGAACTAACTGTATTTTGAAGTCTTGCAGTGGTATGTTGGGTTAGTTTAATTTTATTAATTATAGGATCCCAAGCAGGTGGTAGTACCCAGCCTCCTTCTCTTATTGAAATTAGGATGTTTTTTAATTTCAATAGCCTCACGTATCATCCTTGGTAGGAATCGATGTTCTTTCGCGAGGATTTGTGGTCTATCAAATCTGATGTAATTGTTGGGGCCATCTAGAATATGATCGCAAACTGCAGACTTCCTGGAACGTCGATGCTTCACGTCAGCTATGTGTTCTTTTACGCGGGTTCTAATTGATCTCTTTGTTTGCCCTATATATGAGAGATCACAATCACAATCAAGCTTGTACACTCCTGCATTTTGTAGAGGACTATGACACTTCACGAATGGTAAGAACTGACTAATCTTCTTCGGCGGCTTGTAGAATGTTCTAATAGAAGCTCGCTTCAAGATCTAGCCAATCTTGTCTGTGACACTTCTGACATATGGTAGTACAGCAGGCTCACGCTCGACTGTGGCCGGCTTCACTCGGTCACTGTGACGGAGGCGCGGGACCCGAAGCTTGTTGTCGTGCAGAACCTGCTTGACGCGCTGAAGCTCGGCGGCCAGGTGTTTGCTGTCACAGATCCCTCGTGCTCTCTGAAACAAAGATTTGTCCACGGTAGCTAACTGTGAAGGATGATGGTGAGATTCACCATTTAAGTATCGGTTTGTATGGGTCCTTTTTCTATACACAGTATGACCTATGGTGTTTTTAGGATTTCGGATGACTAACACATCTAGGAAAGCTAAGGAATTATTTGCCTCTAACTCCATAGTAAATTGAATTTTAGGGTTTATGGAATTAAGATTGCCGCTTGTAGAACCTTGGGGTAACAGGTGCAGTAAGGAGGGCTTTCTCCTCAACGTCTTCCATGAATATATCGGCGACAATGGGAGATACAGGTGAGCCCATCGCAACACCATCTACTTGCTTGTAAAACTCTTCCTTCCACAATAGATAGCCAGATGTAAGGCAATGTCTTAGTAGCACTGCATATTCTGGTGGCATGTTATTTTCATCTAGTTTCCTAGTTATAATTGAGATGCAGTCTTCAACAGGTAGGCATGTAAATAGAGACTGAACATCAAAACTGACCATGGTTTCATTGTCAGCAAGACGTAGGTCTTTTATCTCACTGACAAAATGGTATGAATTCTTAGTATGTGCTCTTGTGTGTCCTCTGAGTGGTGATAATATTTTGGCTAAGTGTTGAGCCAATCTGTACGTTGGCGAATCGATTTGACTCACTATTGGACGTAATGGAGCGTTAGGTTTGTGTATTTTTGGTAACCCATACAACTTGGGAGGTTTTACACACGAAGGTATTATCGAATTGACGTCTAGATTCAATTTCTCGGAGTATTTCTTAATTAGATCGCTAGTTGTTTTAAGCGTATTAGTTCTAGGGTCTGTTTAGACCTTACGGTATGTACTTTCATCCGACAAAAGTTGTCGGATGAAATATTCATGGAAGACTTTGAGGAGAAGGCCCTCCTTACTGCACCTGTTACCCCAAGGTTCTACAAGCGGTACGTAGACGATACTTTCACAATTTTACCATCAGACAAAGTAACTGCATTTTTAGAACATCTTAATTCCATAAACCCTAAAATTCAATTTACTATGGAGTTAGAGGCAAATAATTCCTTAGCTTTCCTAGATGTGTTAGTCATCCGAAATCCTAACAACACCATAGGTCATACTGTGTATAGAAAAAAGACCCATACAAACCGATACTTAAATGGTGAATCTCACCATCATCCTTCACAGTTAGCTACCGTGGACAAATCTTTGTTATGTCAGAAGTGTCACAGACAAGATTGGCTAGATCTTGAAGCGAGCTTCTATTAGAACATTCTACAAGCCGCCGAAGAAGATTAGTCAGTTCTTACCATTCGTGAAGTGTCATAGTCCTCTACAAAATGCAGGAGTGTACAAGCTTGATTGTGATTGTGATCTCTCATATATAGGGCAAACAAAGAGATCAATTAGAACCCGCGTAAAAGAACACATAGCTGACGTGAAGCATCGACGTTCCAGGAAGTCTGCAGTTTGCGATCATATTCTAGATGGCCCCAACCATTACATCAGATTTGATAGACCACAAATCCTCGCGAAAGAACATCGATTCCTACCAAGGATGATACGTGAGGCTATTGAAATTAAAAAAAACATCCTAATTTCAATAGAGAAGGAGGTTGGGTACTACCACCTGCTTGGGATCCTATAATTAATAAAATTAAAACTAAACCCAAGCATACCACTGCAAGACTTCAAAATACAGTTAGTTCATTCTGCGTAGATCGGACCAAAAACCAATAATTAAAAAGCTGAAGGTACTCCGGGCTAACTTTGACATCGGGACGTCAGTCACCTCAGTCCCCCGTGACCATGGGTGCTGGAAAGCACCCGAAACGTCGGGTATTAAAATTAATATAAATAAAACGCGATAAAATCCGTAAAAGTAGTTTTAATCAATGTATAGTGTTCGCGTAAATATAAGAAATCATTATAAGGACAGATTTTTATTAACAGATAGTTTTTTGAAGTGGAAACTTTTTTAGAATCTTTACGATTTGAAACGCCATGAAACGAAAAAGCGACACTAAAAAGAGACTAACATATACCTCTATATCA